TTAAATATTTAGCTTGTTAACTAAATATTTAATTTGTAAGTTAAATATTTAGTTTATAAACTATGACATTTATAAATGTATGAATCATACTGTATGGTGAAAAACTGACTTTGAAAACTAAATCTGTTCTTTTTTTCTTATAAAAGGCCAAATAAAACTAAAATATTGGTGGTAATTTTTGACTGTATAACGTTAAAAACGGCACCCCATAGTCAGCTGCCTCACTCACCTGTCCATGTTCACCCAGGTGCTTCCACTCCCCAGTCACTCTCAGTATATGTAACCAGTCTACTTCTATTGCTGCCAGTGGATCTTTGCTCTKTTCATGCACCAAGTCTTGTTCTTATTGTTAAATTTTTGTTTGCTGCCATGTCAGCATTTTTCTTTTGTTATTTRTTAAATCAGTTTATGTTTTCACATTCAGGTGCTCATGTCTGCCTGCATTTTGGGTTTCACCACACMACCCACCTTGACAAATTCAAAGTCTACCTAATGTTTGCCTTATTTTTTTAACTGCATTATTGTCAAAAACTACTTAGTTAACAATTCTTTATTTTGCAATTGCATCACTTTTCCAAAACATGTTGCTAAAACTCACAAAAAAACCCAACATCAAGCCAAACAAGTCAGATGTGTAATTTTGTACCTCATAAACAGCAAAGCCAATAGTCTCCAGGTCCAGGCCTTCTTTCCTCAGTTTCCGTCTGTTTTTCTGCATTACAGCAATCACCACACTGCACATATTATCACCATCAGCATCATCCAGCTTCAGCTGGTACTGTGGGTTGGTCCAAAATGTGTCTGCACGTGGTGAGAAAAACAAGAGAAACTGTATTTCTGCAAAAACGATGAGTGAATTCAGATTTAAGTTTTACTRTAATTGCTATTAAAGCAGAACAGAAGATAAAAGAAGCAAAACTGCAGCTAAAAATGATCAAGAAAGAGAGTAAATGTAAAATTGGCAAACTAAATGCTAATTAGTAAAATAAAAATTAATGCCAAAATTAGCAAATTAGTCCACAGAATAAAATCAGCTAAACTGTAAATACAAGCTAAAAAGAGCAGGAGGGTAATAAGAAAGCAGAACAGTGGCTGAAAAATAAAAGTAGYGATATGGTAGCTAAAGCTAAAAGACAAATAGCTCTATTCCTCATTAAGMTGAACATTTTAATATATGAATAGTTAAAACAGCACAAAGTGTTCAGAAGTGTACTGTAAACAACATGGTGGAAATTAAGCAGGGGATTCTGATGTTATCAGTCCATGAAATGGACGTTATTAGGCGTTATCAGTCCCATACAATGGCTTCCGAGGGTCCCTACTGTGCCTTCTAGGCTTCAGACCGTCCCGGCAGTGCCCCCTAATGGGTTAATATATCAATGACAATGAATGTGTAAATAACCAAAAGATATTGTAATATATATTTTTTGTCTGTGTCAGTGTCAAACCCTAGTCTACCACTCTTTGATCCAACACTATGCCCATTGCCCTACTGGAAGGCCACAAAATATACTCGTCGGAGGTTAGTGCTAACCATGTCATTTGCTCTAAGGTTAACCTTAGTGGCTTTTTGCCTCATAATAACCAGATTTTTTTAAGCCTCATATTAACCAGATAGTGGTTTTATTGCCTAATATTAACCAGACAATCGGCAGCCATTCTATGGGATGGGGTAGTGGACTGATAACGGCCTATTAACGTCCATTTCATGGATGATAACATCCAAAGCGGATGAAATTAAGAGGAAAACAACAGTGTGAACACTGGCATATTCACACATTACATTTAATGTTGAACTGTTTAAAAGACAAAAACATAAAAAAGGAGAAAAATCCTTTCTATAAACCAATGCTAAAATACAGCGGGTAAAATAAGTATTGAACACGTCACCATTTTTCTCAGTAAATATATTACTAGAGGTGCTAATG